TCACAAGGCGTGCCAGGAATCCATCCTTCCCGGTGATATGTATCAGGAATGCGGCATTCCCAGCTCCGGCCAAACCCTTGTCACCATCAGAAACAAGTTCAGAGGAGACGAGTGCGCCGCGTCAGTCCACATGGCGGGATGGAAGGGCTCGCGTAAATAACGTTTTTGGCAAAAGGCGATATCTGGCAGAAGTGGTGGCTGGAGGGGCGCCAGGGGTCTCATCATCTGCGACCGCTTATAAACAATTACTTAACCGGCCCTGAGCTCCAATGTAAACACAAGCTCGGGGAGAGGAAGCGCTGGTGTCCGTACCTAGATTAGCCGGATTACCAACATTCCGAGCGGAGAGAAGCTGCGTCTCCTCTCTGCAGAGCATCGCCGTGATGTGCCCAATCCGCCATCGTATGACGACACGGAACTATACCCGACTCCCAGCTCCGCCAATCACAGCAATCATCAGATACATTTGTAGCTCTTCCCGGAATGTCACTTCATTGTATCAAAAAGATTCCCCAGCCGGAGTATGAAATAAAATGATTTCTACTATTTATACAACAAATACAAAGTATCCGAGGATAGGGAATATTGCAGAAATCAATCTCTATGTTTATATTTAGGAAGCTGACTGATCCCGGGATCTATGAGAAGGAAGAACTGATACAATGTAGACATTTTCTCCACCAATACAAAGTATCCGAGGATAGGGAATATTGCAGAAATCAATCTCTATGTTTATATTTAGGAAGCTGACTGATCCCGGGATCTATGAGAAGGAAGAACTGATACAATGTAGACATTTTCTCCACCAATACAAAGTATCCGAGGATAGGGAATATTATAGAAATCAATCTCATTCCGGGATCTATGTGAAGGAAGAACTGATACAATGTAGACATTTTCTCCACCAATACAAAGTATCCGAGGATAGGGAATATTATAGAAATCAATCCCTATGTTTATATTTAGGAACCGGGCTGATTCCGGGATCTATGAGAAGGAAGAACTGATACAATGTAGACATTTTCTCCACCAATACAAAGTATCCGAGGATAGGGAATATTATAGAAATCAATCCCTATGTTTATATTTAGGAACCGGACTGATAACGGTATCTATGTGATGGAAGAAGTGATACAATGTAGGTAGATAGAAAGTTCCGCCGCACTCCTCACAACGCTCCCGGCCTGTACAACAGTGGTGCTCGCAGTGATGACCGCGCATGGCTCCGTGCAGGCGCAAAGCAGAAGACGGGAATCACCAGCACTCAGTGATATCATTCAATATGTCCATTTATTTGGACAAATCGTCACAATGAAAAAAGCCAACATTTCGGGGCCACACGGGGTCCCTTCATCAGGGCGAAAAGATGTGACAACATTTTCTCCACCAATACAAAGTATCCTCTGATAGTGAATATTGCAGAAATCAATCTGTTTATATTTAAGAAGCCGGCTGATCCCGGGATCTATGAGAAGGAAGAACTGATACAATGTAGACATTTTCCTTCATTAGTAGTCATTGCCTAAAATAAAGGGCACAATGTCAGACTAATGTCACTGCAGGAGGGTCACATTCACTTCTCTTAGAAGCCGAGAGGAGATTTTGTTTATTTTCTTTGTTTGCTAAACAACCAGCTGAGTCTGAAAAATACGACAAAACAGGAACTCGGCAACCTACAAAGACTGCAGAAGATGAAGCAATAAAGGACTTTCCGGCAAAATACTCTACAAGGCAAAACGTCTGCAGACACCATCCCAAAACCATGGCCATTAATGTGGAATACCCCTCCCCC